AGAACTTAGCACAGTTGGTCGTAATCTTTGATTGGTGCCCCTCGTGTAACGCAAATAATAATAATAATAATAGTGGTAGACAGCCCAGTTTTAATATTTTATGCATTCCAGTTTGTGATCCTGGAATTTCTGAAAGGTCCGGGGGTAAAATTTTCACAAGTGTACATAAGGAAAAGATGTTAAAATTTATTTAGGTGTTGCAAAATGCCTATATACCTCCAGTGGGATTTTGAGTCTCGAATTTTTAATGAGCTCCAACAACTATTCAAATGTGTTAACAATGTGTAGCATCAAGAGTTTTGTGATCAGCTACAATATTTCCTCCTTTTTTCTTTCAATTTAACAGTGTGTGCAAGATTTTTTTAGGCTAGTATTTTCTGGTTTGTGGCAATACAGTTCTTGGGCTGGGAGTGAGTTTATGTCCACATAAGGGTCAGGTAACATAGTACAGTGAATCCATGTAACAGCTTTTTCATTATTTTTATTTTTGTGCTTGTCACTGCATAGCACAAAACTCATGTCATGAATTCTGCATTTGTCAGCATGAAAAAAATAAATAGTAATTATGAGGCAGACATCCCAACAGCCATCTGAGTTAAACATTTAACATTCAGGTAAAGGGAACAAAATGTTCTTCTGTTTCAGGTAATTGTAATGGTTGCATGATATTTATTTTCCTTCTGTACAATACCTATTCTTGATTAAGTGAAGGTTTCTGTACTCCTCTGTTGTCACTTTAAACCCCTGGGATCTGTAAATGTAGGTACAGCATTAACAATTGGCTTCTGATCTCAGCCGACGAAGTGGGCTGATAATTGTGGCTGCTGCGAATGACCACTATAGGGAGAGGGAGGCAGAAGTCCTTGTACTACAGGTACAATGTTTCTAGAAGATAATGCCTAATAGAGTTTAAAGGACTGATTTGCGTGTAAGGATCTTGTCTGTGCTGGGAATGAGAGAAGCAATATATGGTGGAGAAAGAGTACTGTGAAATGATTAGAAGTAACATAAATAGTGAAATAATTATTGCAAACCTATCATATCTGGCCACAGCACTCTTACTGAAGGAATATCGGGACTCGGAGAAACCATCCTCAAACCACTCACCGGACAAAGGGCCAGCTTCCTCCAGGACACAACAGACTTCCTCCAGAAACTCCACAACATTGTCATTCTCCCTCAACATTATCATTGTCACCTCCCTATACACCAACATCCTTCACAATGATGGCATTGCTGCGGGCCTCAAGTATTTACAAGATAATGGACAACCCTCAGATACCCACCCCAAACACGTTGCCAAACTCATCTATTTCATCCTCACCCATAACAATTTTATGTGCAACAACAAACCATGGGAACAGCCATGGACAGCTCCCCAATATGCCAATCTCTTCATGGGCCACCTTGAAGAAGAATTTCTGGACAAATGCACCACGAAACCAATTATATACCTGAGATACAATGATGATCTTTTCATTCTCTTGACGGATGACCTAAACTCCCTCATAGTTTCCACCACAACTTCAGCAACCACCACCCTTCCATTAAACTCTCTCTGCACCATTCCCACATTAGTATAAACTTCCTGGACACCACAATCAGCTTAAACAATGAAACCCTACCGACAGATATACAAGAAACACACGGATCATTACACCTACCTTCACGGATCTAGTAACCACTCCAAACACATCAAGAAGAAATCTGTTATCTACAGCCTGGCACTCAGATACCCCAGAATATGCTCAGAGGAGAAAGTCCGTGATACACACCTTAACAAACTTAAAGAGACCTTCACCAAACAAGGACACTCCACTAGAAAAGAAGATGGCATCATGGAACAGGCCACTCAAATACCCCAAGAGAGCCTGATTCAATAGAGATATCAAACCCACTCCAACCACATACCCCTAGTTGTCACTTATCACCCTGCACTGGAACCACACAGAGTTTCATGAAACAATTATCACACATATTTGACAGGGAACCATCCTGAAAGAAATCTTTCCTGAGCCTGCTCTTTTGGCCTTCAAACGATCCCCAGCGTCTTCAAGCTCATGATCAGAAGCAAGCTCCCCACAGACCAGGACAACAGATGTGAAACCTGTAGATGTATTTCCACAGCTACAATGATCAGCACTCCACACAACACATCTTTCAAGATCCCGGGGACCTACGCATGCTATCACAACTTGTGGTGTATCTCTTCCAGTGCACTAAATGCCCCAATAACAACTGTGAAACAAGACAATCACCCTGCTATCGAATGAACCTACACAGAAAAATGATAAGCCAAAAAATCTATTTCACCTGTGGATGAATAATTTTCTCAAAGTGATCACTCTATATCTGACCTCTGTTCTAATCCTCAAAGGAAACCTGTACAACATCTTCAAAAGATGAGCCTGGAAGCTTAAATTCATAACTTTGGTAGACACTAAAAATTAGGGACTGGATAGATACATTGGATTTATGGCTTATTACAACAGTCTATAACCCACTACCTCCCTCACCCCAGCTTTTTCCCTCCCTCTTTCCCCATAATGACTGGAGAAGTGAATGGGTCACTTCACCTTGAATGGTCCCTTGAAATATTTGTTAACTACTTATGCTAAACAATCTATTTAACTTTGTATTTAGCTGTGACATACTGAGTACATTTACTAGACCTGAAGAAGAGCTCCGTGTAAGCTCAAAAGCCTCTCTCTCTCTCACTGGGAGAGGTTGGTCCAGTAAAAGATTACCTCACGCACATTGTGTCTCTAATGATTTGCCATTGAAGTCATCAAGTGCCTGGGCCAATCTTCTGTGTGTATGTATTTCTCTGTATTTATTTTGCTCTGTCTATTATAAAGTACATTGATCTCTACTGTATGACATTTAGCCTTATGATGAATGAGCTGGTGCACTAGAATAACAATGTGACATTCCTAAGGAGAATAGGGCCTGAACCAAAGCCTATTGAAGTCAGTGTGAGTCTATCCATTGACTTCAATGCACTTTAGATTGGGCCCATATTGCAAACACATTGGACCTAGTACTGCAGTGCTTCAGAGACTAGTACAGTTGCTGTTGACCTCAGTGGGAGTTTAGTCTGAGCATGGACTAAAAAAGAACTGCAGAATTGGGCCTATTATGTTGTCTGGTGTCGATTCACTAATATGGCACTTCTTGCAAAAATGTATATGTTGTCTTCATTTAGAAGAATGTATTATCAACTAAACAAGTAACTGAATGGTCTGGCTTTATCCTAGTCATACTGAATGTAATAGTGCCTGGAGTTGAACGTATATTAGATCACCTTTTTTCTCCTTTTTTTAAATCACTCTGCTTCCCCCATATACTTCTCATTGTAAATAATGACATGCAAGATTAAATACACAGAGACAAAATGCAAGATTATTCACTATGTTTTTAAGCAACATTTCAGGTGATTCTGGGAGTGGCTAATTTCAGCGATTTGCCTCTAACCTTAATATCCCACAGTTGGCTGACGTGGGGAATGGGAACAGCAGAATATCAAACAACGCAAACTGTACCTCTCCAACTGGAGTCCACACAAGTGAATATGAATTGTCTGGCTATCCACTGGCTACACCACCAGCATGTTCACTTTGCCTCTTTCTAAATGGTAGAGACACATTTTGGAGGCCTTCTAGGCAGTACATTTAAGATTTACATGGGTGCGGATGTCCCTTCAGGACTTGATCCACAGTCCTTTTATCTTCTCGGAAACTGGTTCTTTAGTTGAACTACATGGAGATGAGTGTTGGGGGCAGAAGCATGATGTCAACAAATTGCGCTATTATGTCTTACTTCCCAAATTTGGTTTTCACTTTGATGACTTCCAAAAGTGTTGTGTCTCACAAACCCTGAGTATCCAGTTGTAGTTGAAACATACAACAAAAATCAATATGAAAATCTGGAAAGAAAACAATAACTAAGGGAAATGAAGTAACCAAATCCCAGATCCTGACTTTCTCAGCTGGTCTTTGCCCACCCACAAAAATATTTACCAGTTTGTGAGTAGTTTGGTTCTGCCCAAATTCCTTTTTTATCCTAAGTTTCCCAATATTTATATCTTATATGAATAGGCAATAAATATATATTGATTGTTGGTATGAAAAACAAAGCATGTAGTCCTAATTTAAATTAGAGATAAAACTACTGTTTTGTTTATGTTTCACCTTTAGTTTTGCAGAAACACAGAAAATATATTCCTGTGAGAAGACATTACAAGAACAAAATCATAATTTTACAGATAGCAATAGTCACATTTTTGATGTAAATATAAATACTCATGATCCTGTAAGAAAAGTGCCAAAAGGAAGTGGCAAATAAATTTTTACTTAGGTTATTAGTTCATTTAATTTTTCTGTAGCTCAGTTCAGCCATAGGGGCAATTTTTATTCTGCTAAACTGGGGCCAGATTTTAATATTTTTCCTCCAGGCATAGCTCTGTTAATTTCACGCAGATAACCTGTGGAGTAAGATACATGAGTGCAGGTGAGATAATCTGGCCCTCTGGATTTAAATGAGAGCAGAATTTGGCCTATTGTGCTTATCCAGTCTGTGGGCCAGGCTCTGATCCCCTTACTCATGCTGAGTAGCACCTTTCTCCACAAATAATCCTGCTGATGTCAATAGGGCTATTTAAGTAAGGTGCATGTGGGAAGGACTCAGCATGTGGAGGTGTATCAAAAACTGGTCATCGATGGTTGTATGAATGTGTGCCTTATCACAAGGGGGTGGGGGAAGCTAGCATAAGACATTCTGCAGTGTACTTAATTTCTCAGTTTCACCATTGCTACAACTTAAAAGTGAAGGTAGTTTGAAGTTGTACACAGTATTGCAGAAACTATTAATTCAAAGAGCTTTCCTGTTGTTAATTTTTGAATCTAATCATTGATGCATCACCTAAGTTTGAGAGCTCCCAATACTCTGGTTCAGTGTTGATGGCTGATCTTTCTGAATGCTTGCTTTGCTTTCATATACAGGATGTTCTGAATAACTTGGGTTCCTGTGAGTTGGATGAAGATGACCTCATGCTTGATTTGGAATTCCTAGAAGAGCAGCATCACCATCGTTCTGGTAAGTCATACAAACATTGGATATTTACAACTTGAATATTATGTATGTAATGTAACATAAAGGAAAAAATTAAGTGCACTTACTTAGAAGTAATAAAAATTAATTGGGGTAGGGGGGAGAGGATAATGCAGTTAGCAGCTTAATGGTTCTAATTGCCTTTGGGAACTGGCATGCAGGATATCATGTTCTTTACACTTCAGTTGCTGATTCCTTGCTTAACATCATTTGAGATGCTGTCATTACTTGGAGATCAAGCCGTTTTACTATGGATCACTTCATACGGCCAATTATCACACTGAGGCAATTTTTACAGATGCAAAAGAATCCCAATTGCACAGCATCAAGGACAGAATCATTTGGTTTTCCAGATGGTTAAAATGACTAGTGCCTACCGCGGAGCCACCAAAAGGCCACCGCAGATATTAGTGAGCCTGTTTTTTGTGTGTGTGTTAGAATATGTCTTAGCATGGTGCTTAACCCTTTGTCACACTTACTTTCAATTAATGTTTACTAATATAGCTACAAAGAATATGAACTTCTCTCACTACTTGTTTTTATGTGCAATTTGATCTTCTCTTTTACTTTTAGTTATACTGTGTAATCTGAATTAATACCAAATGACCAAAGCTGTTGATGGTGGGCAACTAACAAACACTAATGCTTGTAACCACAGTCAACTCAGATTGTTTTCAGAGCCATGTTGTAACAGGAATAAATGAGATCTTGATATGTACTGGCACCTCACAGAGCGGAATTCAGCATTCACTGAGCTTTGAAATTAAGTCATTTAGGCCCAGATTTTTAAAGGCATTTAGGAGTTGCTGCACTCAGTATTGCCTGTCTCATTTTCAAAAGACTAAATCTTCTGAAGCATCTAAATCCTTTAAAAAATGAGGCTTAGGCTCCTAAATCAGTTAGGCATTACAATTCTGAGCACAGCAACACTTAAATACCCTTGGAAATCTGGGCCTAAATGACTTAATTGAAACCTGATTTAAGTCAATGGACAGAGTCCCATTGACTTCCAAGGGCCTTTGGGTCAGCCCATAATGCATATGAGATTTACTCCTTGCAACAAGTAGAGCTGTGTTTTGTAGCTGTTCATGACACACTATCTGACCTAGTAACAATAAAATTGGTTGAACTGTGTTCGCATGGTGTTTTTCTGCAACACAGTTGGATAAAATATGTGTGCAAGACGCTTAACATGCTGCTAACGCTGTTTGCATCACTTCATTATGGGGAAAGACTGAGTAGCTATTCCATAGTGTCTCAATAGGAAGCAGAGTAGCCAGAGGACATGCATATGGAACGGCAGTACCAGCAGTACATGTCCTACTTGCACTATCTTACTGAGTGGAGGGAGGATGAGCCGAACTGGGTAAACATGGACAGAGTCCTATATAAACAGCAAATTAACAATGCCACAAACTGGTTATAGCAGGGGTGGCCAACTTGAGCCTGAGAAGGAGCCAGAATTTACCAGTGTACGTTGCCAAAGAGCCACAGTAGTATGTCAGCAGCCCCCCATCAGCTCCCGCCCTCCATCCCCCAGCGCCTCCCACCCACCGGCAGCCCCGCCTGTCAGTGCCTCCCGCCTGCCGCAGTCAGTTGTTTCGCATGTGCAGGAGGCTCTGGGGATGAGGGGGGAGAAGTGAGGGCATGGCAGGCTCGGGGGAAGGGGCAGGGGCCTTGGGGAAAGGGATAGAGTGGGGGCAGAGGCGGGGGAGGGGGTTGAGCAGTGAGCACCACCTGGCACATTGGAAAGTTGGCATCTGTAGCTCCAGCCCCGGAATCAGCACCTATGCAAGGAGCCGCATATTAACCTCTGAAGAGCTGCATGCGGCTCCGGAGCCACAGGTTGGCCACCCCGGTTATAGGAAGACATCTCTCTGTGAATAGGTGTTGGTTGAAGGTGGTCTATCTACTTAACTCTAAATGTTAAAATAACAAACCTTACCTTTTAACACTTTAAGAAATCAGAACAATTATGCTTTTATTCCTTCCTTGGATTTACTGGATTAAATTCCTGTGCGTTAAAACTCACTAAAAAGTAACCGGAAGATCATATTTATTCTCCTGTGAAATTGTCAAGTTATTGTCCACTTCATTGAAATTCTGAAAAGGGAAACTCTGATCCTAAAAAAACTGCTGCTTTTGCAGCCTTAAATAGTAAAATTAAAAACAGCTGCTAGTCTGACTTTGACTGCTATGAGTTTTGAAGCTGGGAGCCACAATGGTCTGCTGAGAGAATTCCAAAATTTCTGTTGGCCGGTGTAGTGAGGCAGAGTGGCCTCCCTCTGGACTGGAGTGCGAGGGACCACTACACTCCCCTTGGTGGGCGAAGCCGAACTCACCCCGCCCTCCCCTCGCTAGAAGGACTGGGGCGGGACAGGAAGTATAAAGGGAGGGCCCTGCAGGTCAGTTGAGTGGGAACCAGCAGACTAGACAGACACCTGCTGCGGCGCCCAGGAGCTGAATCTATGCTCTGCCACACCTTGCCCCCGGTGGAGACAGACCCAGATGAGGGGTTACCGGGACTACCGTCGGCTGTCTACCCAGAGGAGCCCAAGGACTGGTGGATACCCAGGTACCAAACCCTGGGGAGGTAGGAAGTAGCCCAGGGGCAGCCGACGACTAGCTGGCTACAGGGCTGACCACTTCTAGGTTGGTGTGTTGCAGCTGGATCCCCACTGGCCCAGGGGCAGACCTCTCTGCCACTGCTAGGGCCCTGGGCTGGGACACGGTGGAGTAGGGTGGGCCTGCATCACCTGCCCCCCAAACCCCAGGGTGGCAGACTCCTCACCTTAGGCCAGGAAGCCTGTGCTTCCCGAACATCCCTGTCAGCACCCTAGACTGCCTGCTGGGTGCTCAATCCCTTTTGGAGCCCCCGAGACTGTGTGGGGTGCTCACCCCTACCTGACTCCCGAGACTGTATGGGTTTGCTGGCTGCCTGAGCCTAAAGCCTGCTCCCTGCTCTGCCCCACCCAAAGGGCTAGCTAGGGCTACAGACTCTGTATATTTGCTGGCTGCCTCGACCTGGAGGCATAGGCGATAGGCTTCTACTAGCCCAGCCCCGCCCGAGGGCAGGGGCCTCAGACTGTTAATTGGTGTCAGCCCCAGCTGAGTGGGCTGTAGGCTAAAGACTAGGTCAGAGTGCCCCCACCCAAGGGTGGGGACAGGAGCCTGGACTATTGTTGTGTGGTTGCTTTTGTTAGACGAACCCTGCCCGGGCGGCCTGAGCCTGAAGACTATTGCCCCTACAATGAGGCAGAATGACTTCCAGACCTACTGGAGAGCGAGGGACCACTACACTGGTCCCTGAGTTCTAGTCAAATTAATAGTTATAAGAGAAGAGGTATTACAAATAGGAATTGGTCTTTTTAAAAATTACAGTTTATTACCTGCAATTTGCTAAACATAAATTAGTTGATATTTCAAATAGGGCCCTAGTACTACTATAGTTTGTAATTTTTAGATGTCTTCTTGGAATCATCCAAAATGTTAGAATCCAGATGTTGTAGAGATGGTGTTTGATTCGTTAGCTGTGTAGTACCTCAGTGAGAATTTGATTAATGTGCCTTATTTTGCAAGTGGAACTTCTGATTCAATTACCTCTCATCAAAAGTATAGAGTATGCACCACAGTGAGTCGTGGATGATTTGAATGAGCATATTCTTTAACAAAATTAAACTTTCTTGTGAGCATTTCCCTGCACTGTAATGCTCTCTCTCTAATCTAAAAGTTTCTCTTGGGATCAGCCTCCCTGTTACAAGGGTCAGAAGGGCTGCAGCTAGCCAATCCTGATTACAAAATGAGTCACTGGCTCAGAGATCAAGATGATAGTTCTACAAAGAGCAGCAGGAGGCTGCAAAGAAGGGGAGAACCTCAGAAAATTGTAGAGAGACTACAGACAGTATGAAGGGCTCCTGCAGCGAAGATCTAGAGACCAAGGGTGTTGGAGATGAGAGGAGACCAGACAGCGAGGCTCCAGTGGGGAAACCTGGATGGAGTTTGGGCCTAAAAGTTTAACTTCAGCTAGGAAGAGCAGGGAAGACGGGCTGTGAGGAAAAAGAGCTCCAGCTGTGATTTTTTTGTGCTGATGGACTTTATTTTGGGATCCAGAGGAACGTTAAGAGCTATTTCTGTTGTTAAACTGGCCCCAGGCAGGGCTGGTATTAACCAGAGAGAAGCTCATGTGCAGTTAGTTGTTAAGGGGCCCTGGAGAGTGGAAAGAGAAATAGTGTGTCACAGAGGCCCCTTTGGCCACAAGGGGGTGCCCAGGAGTCGGCCCAACCTTGTTACGCTCTCAATAGTGAGTACACAGTTGGTATTTTTGGTATTTTTAGCTCCATATCACAGGAACCAACATGCAGCCATAGCATATAACTGATTTCTAATATGGTGCCTAGTATGGAGGACATCAGAAAAACAGAATGTTGTAAGAAGAATTATTGTGTAGAAAGTAGATAGAATATTTGTTGCAATAAGAATAGTCAGAATGGTTAATATGTCTGATTGCCAGGGGAGAATTCCTTTTTTTAGGCAAAAACAAACAGCAAAACTACCAGTACTCACTGTGGCTCCAATATTCCAATGTACATTTTTTAGTAACAGTGTTAATGCCATATTTGGATTCTAGGACCCAGATCCTGAAGAAGGTTTTGTGCTTGCAGTTCCTTACTCCCAACTGATTCTCTCATGGTTCTGCTCAGGTATTAAGGTCCACATTTGCAGCTCCCTTTGCAGGATCGTGCCCTTACACACTTATTTGTAAATAGGCATTTTCTACACCTGAAAATTATGCTGGAAGATTATTCAAACATAAGTTAATGTTTACAGCTCAGGTAACTTGGGGCTTGATCCTGCATCAGATATGTGGTGCAAATCAACACATAGCTTTGAAAAACAGGCTACACTCACATGCGAGTAAGTGCACGAGCTTGTCTTCCATAATTCACAATGAAGCAAGCCCCACAGAAGAGAGGAGGATCAAGTCT